TTAATGATTTCAGTACAAAACCGATATGCTGATTGTATGTAATTCCAATACTAATGAGCACTTTCTAGATACTGCAAAGTTTTTATCTTATACAATGTCGGACAGACTCAGGATGAACTTAACAAGAAGACGTACAACCGATTACAAACACTTATACTTCTATTTAAGCTGTGGCGGATGTGGTGTTTGAACGAACTAATAATACCTTTGTACTGGTTGAATGCTCGATTTCGAATTCTAAATACAAAACATTCGTTGGTGCCTGTGTCTTCTTAATTCAATTGCGTTAATCCTGGAATTCCTAATTCATACGACAATTAGAATACTATATAACCATATAGCAGACATTATAAAGTAGTATTAACTACGACATGATTTAGTTACCATGCTCAAAGCAAACACGCATCGTATTACTTATGAAGATTATTTGACTAATTAGTGTGGCACTTTCAGTAATGTTATACACAGTTTCTGTATATGTTCAGAAAGCCAGCAGACAAGGCTGCCAAAGTCAGTCGTTACTCATATGTTTTTTTCTCAGATGCGTTACATAATAATATGTCGATTCGGTCTAAAACGATTATACTTATAATGGATAGAACTATGGTAAGGAAAGACGACCAGACGCTGCTACGCATAGCAAACTATCAGAAGAGTGTTTAGCAATGACAAACTCGTTCGGTTTAAACTTCTGGCTGACCACGTCTCAGGGTCATCACTACTCAACTAGGGTGGGGAGAAGTGATCTGTAGCGATAAATAAATCCCCGAAATTAGTAGCTCTGTAAGTCTTCAACATTGCATGCTGACCACATTAGTTTTAATGGACTCAACTAGCTAAAGGCGCTCGGTCAAGCATCCGCACCAGATCACGAGTTGGAACGCCGTGCTCAACATCCCCTGCAATCGCTAGCGAGTCTAAATCAGCCGATCCTCGATTTATTGATAACCTATCAAAAATATTTTCGAATTTCCTCGCTTCTGTCTTTTGAATTCACTTGGTGGGTACGATTCATACTAGAAGGTGTTACTGGTTAAAACGTTGTCAAACTCCAAATACCTGTGGCGTCTTCAGAAATATTTATGGCTGTACATTAGCAATTTATATAATATTCATAAATAATTTAACTCACAATTGCTTCAACCTACATTTTATGAACAACTAACAACATACATGTTCATCAACACCATAATCATAAAGGTGAATCAAATGAAAAAGGTTTTAGAGCTTACTTTTCATTAAAATTGCGGCCTATTTTTTACTTGATAAATGGTGAATTTTACTTAATTGAGTTTGTGTTGTTGCAAATAACCACATTAGACTGACTAAACATTCACCCAGTTTGTGAGCAACAACTACGACAAACTACTAGTAAACTGGAATAAAAGCTATGTAACAAGCACAAACATTACAAAAATTGACATGCGACGGAGAAAATGCTGATGATAGCTTATAAATAACGACATCCAAAGTCCTCGACAACGTGTAACGTGCGCGCGATAACCCACAGTCTGACTTCTTCGCCGTCCGGACTAAGCCTAATAATCCCATATGACCATGTAAAGCAATGTACTGTCATTATGCAGTTCGCGATTCTCATTTCCATAAGAATCAAGGGCCGTATATTAAATTTGTATATTCGAGAAATGGTCAAAGAAAAGCGGGTCCTCATAGTCGATTAGACATGGGAGATAAGTTGAATAATGCCCTTCACAATTACTTATTCGGCCCGTCGTGTGAAATGGTCCACAAAGGTCAAGAAGTAAGAGTGTCCGTTTGAACCTGATATAGGTTCTGGTTGAAATGAGCCTGAAAAGTTGCGCGAGAGCCTAAGAGACGTCTGCTGTGTTTCATCGCCTTCGATTTTTCATCTTACACAAAAGCGTGCCCACCCCCTCACGTCTTTATGCAGACCAGGCCAGCGAAATCGTTTTATTATGAGCTCAATGGTTGATCAAACACCTGGATGAGATTATGACATTATGCAACGTACTGAAGACGTCGCATCGATAATATTCCGGAACGATTGGATGATTTCTACCTGCAGATGTGTCACATAACAAACTTTTTTGGCCTATTCCCACCTGTTTGATCCGTAGTTTCACGGTTGTCGAAGATAACTCGTGCTGAAAATCAGTGTCTCCTCTTTGAAGCTGTGCGAGTTTAAGAAATTTGATCCCTTGGAAACTGGTCAAGGAAGTTGTACGAGACAAAGCGTCTGCAACAACATCGTTTGCCATACAAATTTGTTGTGTATCTACAGAAAACTGTGAAATCCAGTCCAATAATCGAGACTCCCGAACGAAGTACATGTCTGAAGATCAGCTGAGATCAGAGGTGAGAGGTGTGTGGGTGGTGAAAAGAGTGCATTGTTAGCCTTCTAAAAAGTGTAGAAGGTGCCGTTCAGCCCAATAAGTGATAGTAATTTGATATCGAAAGTTCAGTGTCTTGCAACTGCCTCGAGAAGAATGCCAAAGGTTGTCAACTATTGTTCATTTATTGTTGTAAAAATCAACTGATTGCCGGGTCTGACTCATCTACGGTGATAGTAGTGGGTGCTTCGATGACTTGGTTTTCGAGCATAGTTGCTTTAGCGATAAGTTTCTAACTGTAAAGAATGCTCTTTTCCCTTTGTCGTCTAAATTGATGAATTTCGCAATTCCACGAAGCTGGTCGATTAAGTGTCTCATGAGAGATGTGCGATTCCCTATGGACAATAGAAAAAGATTTACCAGGCCTTTGAACGTACGTAATTGCTTGACTATAGTCAGTTCCGGATAATCCAGAAAGGCTGTCATTTTGCTTTGCAGAGGGCGGATGCTTTTAGCATCAATAGTGTGTCTGAAGAAATCTAGGATGTCGGTTCGCGTTTAAAATTTTTGAATGTTTACAGTAATCCCGTATTTCTGCAGTCGCTTGAAAACACGGTTCAGATTATGGACATGAGATTTTCTATCTGGACTTGCAATCATGCAGTCATCAACATACTTGTATACGAAGTTGATACCTCGAAAACGTCATAGATGAACCTTTGGAAAGTTTGCGTAGCATTTTTCGAACCGATATGTGTAGAGTTCGAAGGATGTGATGGTAGCAACTTCAGAGACATCGCCTTCATCCTTAGGAATTCAGTTATACGCTTTGACCAGATGGATTTTTAAGAAAACAGTTGCACTTTGCAAAGCAGCAGTCAGGTCACTGATGTGTAGCAACAGCCCAAAGCCTGTTCGGTAGCCGGAAAAATCGGACTGAACTTGCACTTGAGGATTTCGGTTAAATAACTATAAAGTAAATGCATCTTTTGCCGCTTTTCCGTTAGTCACGTGTAAGTTTAAGACCAGATCTTGTAGATGATCAATAATATTCTCGAGAAGAACACTTATTTCTGACTGTGTCAAAATGATAGCGAACTTTTGTCATCGTGTCAGTGATGTATAACAGATATTTATGTTGTTGTAAGAAACTCTAGGGTATCCTGAAATTTCTGGAAGACATACCATTCTTGTTGTGGTATCAACGCCAGTCAGTGGTAACTGCTTCTTATGGTCTAGAAAAAGAACCTTTTAGCAGCACGATTCTTGGGGTAGTTTTGAAGCATTTAATTTTGTGATGAGTATTAAGATATGAGTGGAAGTATTACAGAGATCTGCAAAATCCTGTGCCGTGTAACGCTTTTCCTTGACACAAAAATCCCTAGCATGGAGGACACTTGTAACCTCGAAATCCAACCAGCATGTGCAGTCAGTTCGTCTGCAGCGTTATTTTGCAGCTGCTGGGGCAGCTTAGCTAAGAGGATGTATCTAAAGATCCCTAGTCAAAAGCCCATCGACCGATCATCTCCTGCACACGCATTAACATTTTTGTTGCTGAGCCGTGTTGAACTTCTATACTGTGAAACATCTCATCTAATCTTTGTCGACCGTTTGGATTTCCATGCTTAAGGATTGCTTTTTTGAGTAGTCATGATGTTCAAAAACATCGATCGTAAACATACTAGGTGCCACGATATATTAAAAGCTGTAATATACAAAGTTGCAAAAAAGACTCGCAGATAATAAAAAATTATAGCAAGTGGTGCAAACGAATTATACAGTAATATATCGGGGGACACATTTAAAGTTTATTGTTTAGAGAACCAGAACATGTCAGGCTAACCACCCAAAATGGAGTGACAATTCATTTTTCATTACATCATTAAAATTCAAACCACTCAAAACGGAAGATATGGATGGATGAGATTGAAAACATATTTGGGAGCTGTAGATTTGCTGAGAAACGTTTTATCTAAGTCGACCAGTAGTTTTGAGAGATTTATATCACGACATACTTATTCGAGGTCTGGTGCGGATGCGTGACAGATCGCCTCCAGCTATTGTAGGTCCAATAAACTAATGAGATGAATGCTGATATCGAAGGTTTACACAATTTTTTAGGGTATTTGTGTACAGCTTTAATAACCACGTTGGTTGAGTCAAACTATTTTTAAATAAATAGTTGGAGTGTCAATTTTCGCATACTCAAGACGTCAATGGACCTCAGCATACGCTCCAGATGGCTTATGCACAATTTGCGAAGAATTAGTTAAGACTATTCATACGACTAGTTTCAGCTATGTATTCTGTAGTAGAAGCAGATGGATTTTTATCATAGTCCGGATAATTTCTGCCTTCTTATTACTTTATTTATAAAGTTAGCTCTACTCCAGAGCGCACTTGAACACTCATTTAAGCTCAGTCATGAAACATAGTTGAGAATTCTTGGAATTTATGGGTAAAAGACACCTTTTCAGATGCCTTAAAACCTTATTTTCATGAGTATTCTGTTCTTGGAACTACCCTTCATCTAAAGTGCTTCATGACACTTCCATCTTGTACTTTCAAAAAAACTTGACCTATCCTTCGAGAACTAGGACGTCTCACACCAATTTACTAATAATTTGTTTACTTTAGAGTTTGACGAATAAATATGTTTTCATCTGAAGCTACTTGTGTTAAGATATCATTGAACAAAGAATCGCGTTAAGTCAAACTTCTATTCCACTCAACCATTTAAGCTGTATATACATTATGGATTTGGGAGACACTTATGAAGAAAGTGATAAATTAACGATTATGCCTCTGTAAGTATTTCACCCATTCTTACTACAGCCTAATTTCTTTTCCCCTAAAAGTCTGCTAGTTTAATTGATAATGTCTTTGTACATACTATAGTATGTATAAAGACACTACTACTATACATAGTAGTTGTTAAAGTCGTAGTTTTAACTATTTTAACCTTAGTTCTACTGGATGCCGAATTAATGTTCACGTGATTTTTGTGACTAGGGGCTAAAGACTCCAAATGATGTTCACACTCTTCTTAATCACTCAAGTGCATCCACTACATTTTTTCACTTATATTACAAGCTCCTCAGTTATCCTTATTGATCCGCGAACTTGCACTTCTGAAGTTCTATCTTCTACGCCAAGTTTTTCCTATTGCCAATGATAGTATTGGTACTTCTACGCTCATGTTTTTCTCACAATCTCATTTAGATGTACTGAATTTATGTGACCACCACCAACTATAAGTATACAGGTATTCCTTCATTAGAAAGATTACTCATACTAACAATCATTGCATCTGACGATCCCTCAGTTTTCCAGTTGCACTGGTGCATGCAAGATGCGAAAATTATTCCGGAGTTTACTACGTTTATTATAATAAGCGTAGTAAATTTCTAGGCCCAACTAATTATAACTAGTTGGACTTGGACGTGTTAAACGAGAAGTGCTCTGTAAGCAAAAGCTTACGAATAAATAGATCTTTAGAAGAGAAGGGGTTCTTAGAAAATCGTGTTTTTGTACAGATTATCGAGCAACCTTGAGCATTAACCGTAGAAATTGTGAGACTTCGTCGATGGAAACAGACATTGAAAGTTTGAAGTAAACTTAACATTAATTTTGGCAGAACGCAACCAAAACTGGGTTGATTCTTAGTTTTGTGCTACATTTACCGAAAAATTTGATGGGATCGTCCCAAAATTGATGAATTATGTCTAAAAGTTTGGAGCTTAAAAACCTAGACCAATGCACGTGTCAGGTTTTGCTCTGTGTTTAGTGAATTAGATAGCTCCACTTGTGTGAAGTAATAGCAGTAATGCTAAATATTTCATTGGTTTAACACGAGAATTGTTGATTTAAAACTTTACTTTCGATCTGCTTGGCAGTGGGATTGTTCTTGATGCATCCACTTCTCCATATTTAATATCTTACTTCATACCCCTTGCAGGCTTGAAGAAATATGGAGGTTTATCTGACTCATAGTCATATATAAAATTAATATTCCAGTCTCCTCAATATCCGAGGGCAATAAATCATTGCCCTTAGTTTCACATCTAAATCACTGGTAAACGTCCTATTTATTCCGTAACCAAGATATTTATCTGATACTGTCTTTTAGCGTGAAGTCATTAACGAATTTATTTTGTAAACAAAGTATACAGCATTCATTACAGCATAAACTTGCAGTCCCATGGAGTAGTTTTTTGTGGCCTCTAAATGCCATGGTACGGCCGAGAGTGATAAAAATTAGTTCTCCCTCTCGAAATGCTTTCACATGGCCACGTGCATACAACCACTACCAAGGAAGTCCTGCTCACTTCCTTCTCGCGGCGGGGGTATTTTTTACGAAATTGAGAGGACGAAAAGCGAATGTCCGGCGCTTTAACCGGGTTGGTGGACACGGAGATTCCACCTGGGGAAGTTGGAAAACCCTGATTCCAAACCATTAGTGCGCATGGGCTCCAGTATCCTGAAGTAATAAATAGCATATGAACCAGTCGTTGGTCACCGGCTACCATAGAACTGCATCTCCTGACGTTGCTCCACTGCCTTGTGGATTAGACCTTAAGATCAAAGGCTCCGGGTGTGGCTCCTAAGAAAGCCACCTGCTTCAATTCGGGCACATGGGTAGTATCCCAGCCCTCATACAAATCGAATGATTTATGTGGCACATATCTTTTTGGTGCCTCCTTGTACCAATCTATTATCTCTAGCTTCCCGTCGATAAGGAGTATGGCCGAGGAATTTCCAGCTACTCATCTATCACCTGAATAAACCTTGTTTACCCTTCATATCTACTGGTGTCATTGCAATTTATCTTGTAATCGACTCATGACTTCTACACATGATGTATTATGTGAACACTGTAGGCTAATGATATTTGACAGTTCTCTCTAGTTTGACTTGTTTGAACCATAGATCTCTTCATTAGAAAATTACAAACTCTCCGTAAAAGCAGGGCTTAGTACTCGAGGTTATTGAACTTCCTTGGCGTCAAGTACGATTCGGCAGGATCTTAATTGTTCGCATCACTATTTTTTTACTCTTATTCAGAAAGTAAAGGCAAGAGTTCAGATGACTGTGTTGGCTAAATTTTTTAATAGACGTCTCAGCTAAATAACTTGCTAGCTTACCGTAACATTAACATTTAAGTAAAATTAATGAGAAATAAGATTAATGTAATTGTTATTTATTGGACTCATTTAGAAAGGCTTCCGGTAAATTTCATTAGCCCTTACTTTATCCTTTAATTTACTATTTCAGTGGGGCTGGTCAAGAAGTTGGAAGGTCATGCATACTGTTAACATTTAAAGGGAAGAAGATAATCGTAAGATGTTCCATTGTCTTTTATAAATATATGTTCACAGCTAGATTGTGGTATACATCCTGGCTTACGCAACAGAGAAAGCCTGCCATTCATTGATGCAATCCCGGATATCCAAACGACAGACCTTATTTTAATTAGTCAGTAAGTAACTTAATCTCAATGCAATATGCATAGCTTTCATCTTGATCACTGTGGAGGGCTTCCACATTTGCTTTTAAAGACTGGAGCTAAGTCAAAATGTTACATGACACACGCAACGAAAGCCATTTATCGTTATTTGCTTGCTGACTTTGTTCGTGTTAGGTGAGCTTCTAATACACTAAAGATATTCCACTGGTTAGCAATTCTGGTGGCCTACCGGATCAATTATTGTACAGTGATCGAGACATAGTAGCTAGCTTAGACCATATTGATACCATAGATTTTCACCAAGAACTTGAAGTTAACGGGATAAAGTTTTCTGCCTATCATGCTGGACATGTGTTAGGTGCAGCGATGTTTCTAATAGAAATTGCTGGTGTAAAAGTTCGTCCTCCTTTACAGATAACTTTCATAGAGTCCATCTAGATTTTATATACTGGGGATTTCAGCCGACAAGAAGATAGACATTTAATGTGTGCTGAAATTCCGCCTATACGCCCAGACGTTCTGATAACCGAAGCTACTTATGGTATCCATATCCATGACAAACGAGAAGAAAGAGAAGCTAGGTTTACTAGCTTAGTTCACGATATTGTCACTCGTGGAGGGCGCTGTTTGATTCCAGCATTCGCACTTGGCAGAGCCCAAGAATTAATGTTGATTCTTGATGAATATTGGGACAATCATCCAGAACTGCACGACATACCCATTTATTATGCCAGTCAGCTCGCACGGAAATGTATGGCAGTTTACCAAACGTATATTTATGCCATGAACGAACGAATTCGCAACCAGTTAGCAAACAACAATCCATTCTGTTTCCGACACATATCCAATTTAAAGGTAGATGAGTAGTATCAAAGCATTTTATAATTAACACTTGTCTTGGTAGAGTATTGAACATTTTGACGATTCTGGTCCATGTGTGGTTATGGCCAGTCCTGGAATGATGCAATCTGGTCTTAGTCGAGAGCTATTTGAGAATTGGTGCACAGACAAACGTAATGGAGTAATTATTGCAGGCTATTGTGTCGAGGGTACTCTGGCGAAACAAATTTTATCTCTACCGACTGAAGTACCTACAATGTCAGGTCAAATGTTACCACTGAAATGTTCAGTAGATTATATTAGTTTCTCTGCTCATACTGACTATCAACAGACGAGTGCATTTATCAGAGAACTAAAACCAAGCTATGTCGTAAGTTATGTAATATGTTAATGCAAGTATTTCATCTTCTTTACAACTTTCTCTCCTTAAAATATGTGTAATTTTAATATTAGTCATTGAACAACATTATGCTATTTTTTATTTAGTGGTAAACTTATTGCTTGATTTTTTGACAAATTATAATAACCTTTAACATTATTTCCAACTATCACAATGCTAGGAAATTAAATATGTGGTTATCAAGTTTCAGTTTTTGAGACTGTCCTGATTAATCTGACTTTGGTTGCTGACTCGCTCCACATTCAGTCTCACGACTATGAACTTCGTTAAATTCTCGTTGTTCATATAATAAGTAAATTAATAACACTTTACAGTACGTTTAGTATCCAAGTGGGTTTTACACTGAAATGGTTGTGTCAAAAATATCTAAATATATTTTGGATGAAAAAGTCGCTTTTATTGTATTTTTATCTAGATGGCTTATAGGTGTTTATTTAAATTTTATAGATTAGTTAGTGGGGATTTTCAAACCATTGAAACAAATGATTTAAAATCCTGATTGACATATCTTAAAATCTACAACATCAACTCTATATGTTTCTCTATGTACTAGATACATTCTTTATCAGTTGAATGTAGAGTTGTCAGTTGGTGTTTGATGTACTCATTTTTTCAACTACGGATTCAAACTACCATTCCTTTAAAAAAACTGAGGAAACCGGCTGACACTAATACTGTTCACAAAATAGGTATAATTCACAGTGAAAGTCATGGATCGTTTCTAGTTTATCGAAATGTATAACTTTTTTTTCATTTTTATGTTTATTCACTGTTGTTTTTATGTCGTACTTTTGTGTAGTAGTTTAAAACGCGAAGATTTAAGTAATGCAATGTCCCCCCAGGCCCTGCATTGTACTGGTCGTTTCTTTATTTCAGTGTCTTAAAACTTTCTCTTTTAGGTATTAGTACACGGAGAACAAAACGAAATGTTACGGTTATGTGGGGCTTTACAAAGGGAGTATGAAGATGATGAAACATGTAGACTGGAAATATTTACACCTAAAAACTGTGTCCCGGTTAATCTACGTTTTCGTGGTGAGAAAGTTGCTAAAATTTTGGGCAGTCTTGCCCATAGTGCTCCTAAAGAAGGTCAAACTATTTCAGGAGTACTTGTAAAGAAAAATTTCGCATATCATATTTTAACACCTGGTGAATTACCGAGTAAGTAATTTCATATTGTTTCTGTGTTAATGATCTTGTGAAAGTTAAAATTTGGAACGCATCTCGAAAGCCTCTACGGCTTTGATGTACATCCTACTGATAATATCAAGAGGTATTTACCACTCCCCTTTGAATAACCATTAACAGATAATTTATTTCTGTTTTCTCCTTGATTTATTGTTGGTGTATCATACTTTAGATATGGTTCATTAACTGACATACTTGACCTTCAGTTTTAAGTCTCAGTATGTATAATCTAATCTAGACAGCTAAATATTGCTGGTAGCTTTCACTTGAAAAGTGTGGTTTCGAATTTAGTACAGTAGTTTTATACGGTTTTTGAGATGTAGTTGAACACAGGAGTAAATGTCTGAATGATTGGATTAAAAAAGAAATGTTTCTTCGCTCAACTTGTTTTTTTTTTATTATATTTAGCATTAATTAGTGAATATGTTAGAGAAATAGTGTATCTCTTTGTGTCTACTATGTCATGTTTTCCCTATTTTTCCTTAGCATACACTGAACTAGCTACAACTGTAGTTAATCAAGTCATTTCTATTCCATTTACTGGTAGTGCTAATCTTTTGAAATTTCATCTGGCTTTACTTGCTGGTAGCGTGGAAACGGTATCTCAAAAATCAGATAATGTACAATATCGTGTATTTGATGCAATTAATATTACTTGGCGACCACAACAGATAACTATGGAAGTAAGTTATATATATAGTCAAAGTGAGTTGCAGTTTGTCAGGGATTGAAGATAGACACACTCGGGTTTATTAAATATAGCAGACCAGTTTTAAGATTTAGATTCAATTAATTAGACGAATCAAACTTCGCATAATAAGTTGCTTAGATATTCTGTACATAAATTTTTGTTATTTTTTTGTGAAAAAAACTACATAGTAGTACTTCGTTGTTTAATTATGAATATTCATCCTATACATTTCGATCTCAGTGGCAATCCAATCCTACAAGTGACATGTATGCGGATGCTGTACAGAATGTTATTTTACGTGCTGCTATGCAAGGAATGCCTCCTAGAGGTGAGTATTTTTACTATTTCTTTTGGGGTTTTTGGTACATGGGACTAATAGTATAATCTCTCGGCGTTGTATAATAAGGTTTATTTTAATTTGTGGCTTACATAATTGAACCTTAAAATCATTGATTTCAAAAGAAATCAAGTACATTTCATGTTTATCTTGAATTTCTTGTCGACTGTTTACTTAAAAGACGAATGAGTAGTAGAAACGAGACTGAAATTGAGGAACTGAGAAAACGAGATTACGTCTGAAAAGAAATATTTTCTCATTTTGCTAAAAGCTTCATGCTACCGATTATCACTCCACAGTAAACCGTGTTCAAAAAGCTCGTAGTTATCCAAATCAAAGAAATATATAGCCATAAATTTATGTTATATGGTTGAATATTCCAAGAATTTTCTTACTCTATTTAGATAATATTAAACATTAGGCTAATTAATGGGTTAAAAGTATACCATACTGATGAACTGGTCACATCTAAGATAGGGCCTTTTGAGTGTGTATCTTATTAAGGACTGTGTAAAATTGCCTTATATCTAGTTCCTAAAGTTGATAAAAATGTCTTCTGTGCAACCAGACTGTGAAGCTACAAGATCGTATTAGAAAGTACTTTATGTGATTCAATTCATAGTCAAAGATATTTGTGTGAATGAAGGGTATTCAACACATAACCCTTAATATGAACTGTTAAGATATACCTTTTAACTAATTATCTTATTCTTTACTAATCACCGATTAATTTTTAAAATAATGTGGTTTCGTTGACTTATGTATTTATTGTTGTGGAAAGGACTGTGCAACTTTTCGAATGTTCCGTTCTTTTTTCAACAAAAATCATATCTTCCTTTTTTCTTTAACTGCACTTAGGTTTACCTCATCTTATTGAACCGAACAAAGAACAATTTCGATCTGCCCTCGAAGTAGCACTTCAAGATGCATTCGGTATTGACTGTTTAGAAGAAGAGATAATTAAGCCTGATGCTAATCATGTTATAGTGCATGTTGATTCTCATGTCGCTGAAGTGAATCTGTGCGATTTAGTAAGAAATAATATAATCTTCCCATTTGTTTTGTAAGCTTATTCTAGTCATTTCTTAACTCTAATATTATATCTCACTGTTCACCATACGTTGTGTTACGTTACTTAAACGATTTACCTATCAAAAACTCAGTCTATTGTGTACTAACTTACATTTTCCGTAGGCTGATTGGTGCGATTAGTTTAAAAACATTAACTCGGCTTAAATAGGATTTAGAATCTAAAGAAATATTGATACATATTCGTCAGTTCACACTTTATGGTATCAGTGTAAATCATCTTTGCATTTCATATTGAATATATTACATTTAGTTAAATTTCACAGGTTGAAACCATGAGTCAATTGAAGCTAGACCACCATGGAAGCACTGGACGGCCGTTTCGTCCTAGTATGGGACTCCCCAACAGTGCGTATCCACAAGCCCGCTGCTGAGGAGTCCCATACTAGGACGAAACGGCCGTCCAGTGCTTCCAGGTTTTCCATGGTGGTCTAGCTTCAATTGACTCATGATTTCAACCTGTGAAATTTCCTAAAAATCTCCACAAAACTCATTTAGTTAAATGTATGTAAATCTAATTGTCCCATCATCTTCGACTGTTGTAGTTAATTCTTACTTGAGAATGACTGCTAGGTATTTTTACTGACTAGTGGCACCTAAATGTTTTCTCTTTGAAGTTCGTCTTAGTGATATTTAGTCATTCAACTGATTATGTACAGTTATCTAATAGATGATTTTCTTTCATATATCAATGTTAACTGAAGAGTTATCCGAAAAACATTAGCGATAATGAAAACAATAAACAGTTTTTTTATATTAAAACAATGTGCTTACTGCCCATTTCCAATTCTTGTAAGCTTGAAGTAATCCGTAATGGTAGGAAATGCAAATATGAATATCAGTGAGAATTAATACATAAAATAATGTTAAAATGAATGTAATTAATTTCTATCGCAAATAAGTACTAACTATTATGGGGGTTCCTCAATAGTGAATACACGCAAGAACCATTTGATTTAACGGTTTGTAGATAACGTATTCATCGCGCAAATTTGGTTTGCAATAATTATTCACGAAAAAATAATATGCTTTTTGGTCATTTGTACAGCTTTTCTCTCATAAAACGTCTTCAAATTAACAAATATCTGTGGCGGGAATCATTTCTCTTCATCTACTTGTTATTGATCTGATAATTAACTAGTTGGTTAATAATATTTATCTTAAACATATGCTGTACATAAGATTTAAGCCTACGTTATTTGATGAAGTCTCTGGAGACGCTACAAATAGCACCCTCTAACACCAAGTTATGTATATGACGTAGTCTTTCAACGAAAAACAGTAGTATTCTTGTCGATCTATTTCAAACCTGTTGTATGGCAAATATGTACATCACGATTACTGTAATCAGTTATTAATATTTATGATACAACTCATTGTAATAGGATTTTCTTTTAATATTATATTGTAGTCCGTCTCGTGTAAAACCAATCCAAGATTGGAGCATATTCTTCAAGTTATGGTCAATCGATTAAACCACTGTATTTCAGCTATGTGAATTAATTATTTTGTAAATTATAATCTTTTTTACAGAAACTTTTTCTTGTTACAATCATTTTTTTCAAGCCTTTATGCGTAGTCGAAAAATTCAGCTAATTAGAGGGATAGTTTATGAATAAAATTAATCTGATATCTTTAGTGACTATAGTAATATGGCAGTCTTATTCACATTTTTTAAAATGATTTAATTACAAAAATCGCATGTGATCTGAAGCAACAAGTTTCAACAATGAAGACTAGGTGATAAGGTACTTTGTGGTTAAACCGAGTGTCAACACTTCTTACTGTATAGATTACTAACTACAATGGTCGAGTAATAGAGCTTTCAGATCTCTGTTAGAGTCTGTCTGTGAGATGTTATTCTCACTAGATGTTTTTTTATTTAGAACGTCGACTCACTTTGTAGTTCTCACTTAGACGAAGTCTTTTGTTATGGATTTCCGATTGTATACTGAACCCAATCCCTAATTCTACAGTCACACTTCTATAAAATACTGAAGCTACTAACCATATTTTAAATTGAAAACGTGCATAGTTTAAATAATCTGTATTGTGTAGATTAAATTCCAATGGAAACCTAAATTGGGATGTAACTTGTTAAGGAAGTTTCTCTTAAATGATCAGTACCTGCTCATAGGTTCAGCATAGTGAAATATAATTTAGACAAGTGACAGCACAAATCCTATTTAATATAACTGATTATAAAATATTCATTAAAACAAGTGTGGGAATATCACCTGAAATTATTTTTATGATAGAAAAAAATGGAAGAACGCATTAACAGTTAAATTGATTGGGCTTAAAATTAGCACTCTAGTAAGGTGAAAACTATAACCTTCATAATTATGTGAATATTAAGCAGAATAGTCTCTATAATGTTCAAGATGTGACAGCTGATTAAACGTACAACCTAGTGTTTCATTAAGTACACGATTGTCTTCATAACAAAAAATGAATTAAAAGCACCAACTTTCAAATAAATTCGAAAGCGGTTTATGATTTGTTTAAATGGGCTTCCTTCATTAAGGTAGAAAGGTGATGAAATAATTTCCTTGACAAGCGGATGATTTACTGGCAAAATATTCTTTCCAAGACTAAGGCACCACACTCGTAAATTATAGCTCTACAAATGTAAAGAAAATCCCTATCTTGTGACAAGCGGGAAATCATTGAGTCTAAATTTACAACTTCGGTCAGTTTGCAGTGCATTGCCCTCCTCAGACAACACTAGTTGTTTCGTTTTCTACCCGGTCAATTCACTGATCAGTCCAATGTAGCTATCTCTTATTTCGCAGAGACAATTTCATGTTTGTTTTCTCCACCAATACCCAGCGTAGGTTAATATGCTGTGAGAAAGTTTCCAGTGTTTCGAGGTTACGGCAACAATTTAATTATCGTCAATGCATCCGAACACATTGCCGGACCTCGACATTAATTACGGTGCTGCCACCAAATGTGAGCAATCCTTGAGAGACGATGGTGATCACACATCCTTACCTGAAATATGCATTAGATTTATGTAACAGAACTGCTTTCCCTAACGCGTTGTATATTCGGACTTTTACACCATCAATGCTACAGATAATCCAGATTATGAGACTGCTGTGACTGACTCAGGTATGTCGACCTTAACTCACAAAACTACTAAATGTATGAACATTTCGACTAGTTAAAAAGGTCCACAATAACAGTTCGGTACGTAAGCTTGTGAAACAGTGTGGATTCTGAAGGTGCCAAGCAAACATCGTACTTACGGGCACTAGTTCCTAAATGATTTGAGTGGCCTACCCGAAAACTCCATCAGGATTCACAAATCTATTTAGGCATACAAACTTTCTAGCGATCTAAGAATAGGTCCACTCAAATATTTTTACACCACTATCGCGGACGTTTTCAACATTGGATTTAAATGAAATGTTTATGGACCTCAGTCAATTGATTATCTCCACATCATAATTGGTAGTGTTCAAACTGGATTTCATCATCTATTTTACTTAGGTGATAGTAGATAAAAAAACTAATTAATCAACGATTTGCTTTTTATGCACACTTTACAAGACAGTAATGATATGAAGAAAACATTTAATAAGTTTACCCAAATAATTACATAATGCTAAATAATTGTACTTACAATTATATATATGTCAAGTTACAGAATCCTAATAGTTCCAGATGTTTAAAGACTTACTCAGCCATGCCAAACAATTTATACACAGATAAGTAATAATGGCGTGTTTTTTGAACGACACATTAAAGAGATACAGTAAGAAAATAAGAAAAGACGGAAGAAAACACATTAAAATATAGGGAGCGAACAAATTATTGACTTTAATGTCAATGAGGAAACATAGAGACTGTTCGTTTATTAACCTAGAAATCATTTTGCTGAAAAAAGAAATAACAGAGTTAGGTAAATTCATACATACACTTCTTTCGGAATAAGAAACATTTGAAAGAAATTACGATACACGCGATAAAAAAGGAAAGTTCAAATAAAATCAATTTAATGAATGATTGATGGACGAGATGAGTAATGTTGCACAATCGGAAAGAGAAAGATAAGGACAGCTGCAATGATAACTATGATGGAAGTAGTAATAATTAGTCTAAGATGCCCAATATAAATGCGTATGATCCTACTTATCAATACATACAGAGGGTCAGATATATTTAGTGATCAATAAAACTGGATTCATCTGAAAAACGAAGTTAACAGAAAGCTTTTTACTGGAATTCACTGTACATTTAAAAAACATATCTCAAATAATTCAAAATACTTTACGCTACTAAACGATGTAAAGCTCTCACCATGAGCTATGAGGCGAATGCTAAACGATTATATTATAACCAAATCGTTTGATTATTTATTCTCTGAAGTGGCTTACACTAAGTCACGAAACGTCGAAAAATCTAATTTTTCTACTTATTGGAATATTATATATGTTATATATATATATATATATATATATATATATATATATATATATATATATACGACAAACACACTTGACATCAATTAATGGAGGTCAGTTGTGTCAAAATTGTTTCTACAAAGGGGAGTCTTCCTATTTTTCAACGACTGGTCTTCCACCAAGTGGCCTAGGTATCACTGTCGAGAAAATCTTTTGGACAGTTCCTAAGGTTACATTCAAATATATAAATATAATCCTTCCTTCTCAAAATAGAAAAGCTCTTCCACGAAAACATTTGATTGTTTTGTTTTCTTATAAACTCTTCAGTATTGATTGGAGTGTAACTAAATCATTGCTTCCTTGGTTTCGAGAATCAGTAAATGTCATCGCAAAAACACTCATTATCATTACAACGATAAAAGTCCTAATTACCAAAGATGCTTGTAAAAGACCATGATTTTCCAATCGCGATTCACACAAATATACGACTTCAACTAAATTAGTATCACAGTTTTAAAGAAAAACGATTATACTCAGATCTACAGATTGCTCAAGTAATAAATCTATTAAAGACTACTACAAAAATTGTCAGTAATTGCTAAGTTGGTTAAACTTTTGTTCGGTACCTAGAACATTGGAAGTACAGTAACTGTCACAACAAGTAAACTAACTTAAAATAAGACGTTTTTCAAACAACTCACCTGAGTGTTTACATAATAAATTCACGAGCTAACATAAGAGTTTTATCATAATTTTTGGTTGTTACTAGAATGAGCAGAAGGTATACTCCCAATAATATTTTCTCTAGGATCCTCTTTTTGTGAAGACAAGCTCTGGTATTTAGATTGATGAGCAGGAGGAGGTTGTGGGGGAAAGAGGAGAGTTGATGCCGCACCTATTGTCGGATTTAAACTCAATCCCACTCTCCCAGTACTAGACAATGCGCGATGTTGTAGTTGGTCAATCTGTTGGCTAGATAGAGCGACGGCTGCAGACTGATGGGTAATTTGCTGGCTAAACTTATTAGAATCATGAGGAAAATTCGATGGGACGTTTGGTGCACACGGTTTTGGAAAACCATCATTAACAGAAACCATTGACTTTCCAAGTTCATTAACCTTTAGCTGAGCAGTGGGAGCTTGCTGTGAAGATTGACACTGAGGATATGATTGTCTGAAACAGTAATAAACACTTTTACATTCGTACCAGATCATTACATTTTACACTGCAATAAAAAGTAAATAGATTACTGTTATACTTCTCTCTTACGTTATAACCCAGCTATCCCTATTGCTCGATATCAATTCACTCGACAAGTCCCCAAATCAGAACATGGTTGAACAGGGAAGAGACTACATTCCAAATAACGAGGTTAGATGGAAGTAAGAAGCACAATAGGGAAAACGTTAGTATATTTATAGTTTTTACATAAGAATATTTCTAGAGTGTTCTCCAAGTATCGACTAGCGCTGATTGGGTAAGAATTAGCCACTACATACATAGACTATAAAATGAATAATTTCATTAGTGTGCAATGGAAATGATCTTTTAACAAGCGAATATCTTGAAATAATGAGTGTAGGTTAGTCATTGATAACCCAGTTCACCACATTCGTATAAGAACGATCGTCTTAATATGCTGAATTAAATCCATCAAAAGGCTAGTTTTTGTAAACACTTAACGACTTGAAATCAACTATAAAACGAAACATACTTTTTTATCAGCAGCATTGACCACCGATTCAGTCAAAATATCCATCTTAAAAAAGTAATTTGTAGGCTATGATATTATTTAGTTTAATTATTACCTAAGCAAAAGGTAAAAACGTAGAACGAATTCCACACTATAAATACATCACCGCATTATATGCTCTATGTTTAAAATCCATTATAGTTTACATTAATTCTTCTTATCTACATCTTATCATGTTGATCCCCTTTTCTGATGTACTTACGGGGCATGATGACTTGAAGAAACGGGGAACTGTGCTGGACTTCACGTCGAAGACTGGTGTACATAAGTATTATTTTATCTTAGTTTCATATGACGACTATAAATAACATTCTCAACGATGTACTTTACCAAAATTGGTATGCGATATGCTCAAATTATCTGACGCATTTAATAAAATATACCTTTTCATAGCTACTGGATTGATCACTGTAGATTTGCCCAGTTCTGAGTTAAGCTGTACCGCCTTGGACACTAAAATAGTGGCTACAGGATTAGAAGAACTAGATGAGACAAGACGCAGAGGTATACCCGGGTTAGCCGTTCGACCTATAACAGCTTCATTCTGTAAAATAGGTGTTCGATTTAACTGTGAATTCTGAGATGTTGAAGTTGACACAGGAACTACTAATGAATTTGGAGATATAGATGCTGTGGTTGATTGCAGGACATACGAGAAGCGAGAAGTTCCAGTATCCACGCAAACAGTTACTGGAGTCTTAGTATTGACAGTTTTCGAATGAATTGAACTTTGAGCAACTGAAGATGGGGTAATTCGGAAATTGGGGCGATTAATTGGTTGTGTGGGTGAGTGAGCTGTAGGAAGTGATTGACAATGTTTTGTGACAGGAACTAAATGAGGGCTAGATTTAGGGCTGCAAACAACCGATAAACTTGTACGTGGACTACTGTTTGATACTACATGATCGGGTACCTTGGGAACTGTTTTGGAGACAGTTGAAACCGAAATATTCGAAGAAATATGGGGTACAATGACAACAGGTGAATTTTGTTGTGATAGAGCATTAGAGTCAGGAAGAGGTGTTGTATTTGCAGAAGAAGGTGAATTGTGACTTCTCCCATTATTTGTATGCGTAGAACTGTTATGGTTGCTATTGTTGTTCGTAGGTCGTGCAAGCGATTGAGATGCTGAAGTGCTGTTGCTCAAACCACTAAGACGAAATAACAAATATTGTATTCATTGTTAAAAATAATAATCCAAATAAATTTGTTATGCATAAATGAAATCGGACACCACAATAAATTATAAAAGCAAACAAAAACAAACAGCTACTATAGAAGATATTCTTCCACGTATATTTGTTAAGCTAATCTCGGATAAAACTATCATCAGAATGGATTTTTTCATGATAAGATGGTTCAAAAATGACTAAACCATTAATTGCCAATCATGAATGACTAGAATACAACGAAGAATAGAAATCTGTAAATAACGATAACACTATCTAGGAAAGCACCTCTCAGTGATGCCACTTAGTCTTTAACAAATATTTTAGTGAGACCGGCTAGTAATGAAAAAATAATTTTATATTAATATATTGGCTGTCTCTACTTATGTAAAGCTGATTAATAAACTGGAAAAAAAAACATAAAAAATTAGACATCCTGCAATATTTATAGGTAGACCAAAACGCCATCACAAACAAAATAAAATTATGAATTCCATGGAATATGTCAATATTCAGTAATTTTAAATAGACACGTAGTGTTAAGGGGTTGGACCCCATCGGCAGAGAACCTGAGAACTAGACTTAATATTATTTGACAACTGTCATCAAGGTGTATTTGCAATCATGGCGAAACTGATGCTCTGTATGGGATTCAAAACAGAGTCACACTGTAGAGTAATAGATAAAGTTCGCTCAACACTGAGAACTAGACAAACATGATAAGTCACTACTATTTAGAGTCAATCAATGTAAGGTAACATAGCTAAAGTCATCCACTAAATAGTTGTTAAGTTAAAATCTAATCTATTATTAACAGCTAAGCAGTACTACGAATCTTGACATAAATGATGCTATCGTCAATATTTTTATATAACAAATCTATTCCCAGACACCACTCAAGCGTTTTATTTATATCTACCGGATGATAGAAAAACAAAATATTTACATTTGTTCAAGAATAACGTGACTCACTTATCGCTGCAAAATTTTTGGAAGATTGGTAAACCAGTACGCCATAATGCACTAAAAAAACAGAATGTGAATTTATATATATATATATATATATATATATATATATATATATATAGGGAGAGAGAGGCCCCAAAAAGCCTTGTGATGGTCGAGAGCGGGGAGGGCTCACCCTCCCTCTCTAAATGCTCTCACACGGCCACCCTTATACAGCCTCTGCCAGGGAAGTCCCACTCACCTCCTCGAGGCATTACTGTTGTTTATGAAATTGAGAGGACGTAAAGAAAAATGTTCGGCGCCTTAACCGAGCCGTTGGACACGGTGAGTCCACCTAGGGAAGTCGGAAAACCCTGATTCCAAACCAATGGTGCACATGGGCTCAAGTATCCTGCGGGAACAAATGGCGTATGAACCAACCGTTGATCACCGGCTACCATGGAATGCATATCCTCACGATGTTCCACTAACTTGTGGATTAGACCTGTAGGTCGAAGGCTTCGGGTGTGGCCCCCTAAGAGAACCACCTGTTTCGGCCTGGGCACCCGGGCAGTATCACAGCCCACACACAGATAGAATGAAAATGACGATGTTTAATGAAAATTCTATTCACTCCCCGATTAACAGTCAAACAATTCACATTATTATTATTATTATTATTATTATTATTATTATTATTATTGTTATGTCATTTATTCACTCTCTTTTATTCCCACTTTATGAATCCTTATTTTTCCACTTATACAGCAGAACAACACTATGGAAGCTTCTTCGATACTACGGCGTGCCTCAGAAGATAGTCAATATCATACAGAATTCCTGTGGATAAAAATGCAAACTGTGCATGGAGGTCAGTTGACAAACTCCTTCGAAGTAAAGACTGGTGTCAGGCAAGGTTGCTTACTGTCACCTTTTCTCTTTCTCCTGGTGATCGACTGGATCACGAAGACGTCAACATCTCGAGTCACTGACTGGTTGAAAATTGAATGCTACAAACAAATACGAATACTGAAACAGTTTTTCTGAAACCACGTGCACCATTCAAACTTGCTGCCTTCAACGTTCGCACACTTATGCAGGTCGGACAACAGATAGGGTTACCTATGTCTTTATAAAGTCTTAATATCGACGTATCAGTACTAACCGGAGACTTGAATGCTCAGGTCGGGCGTCTAGGCACAGGAGAGAATCGTTTAAGTGGCCGATGGGGACTTGTTGATTGCAGGTCAGATAACGGAGACCGTCTACTGCAACTGTACACAGACCATAACCTGTTTCTGGTGATCACTGACTTCCGGCACAATCATCGCCGACTTGCCACCTGGCGCCCTCCCTCTGCATCTCAAGTCTGGACTCAGCTTGATCACATCGCGATCAGCTACCGTTGGCGTGGTTGTGTACAAGATTGCCACTACTTTTGGAGTACCTATCTGAACCATGAAAATGTCCTTGTTTGCGCTAATCTTAACTTACTCTTCAGTGGCCAACAAATTCATCATCCTAAACAGATTAATGTCAGTAAATTGGTTGCAACTTCTGTTGCAACTAAACATCAAACCGAGCTAGGTTCAAGGCTAGCTCACATACCGCCGAAAAGTATAGATGAGCATTGTTTGCAACTTCATGACCCCATCAAGATAGCGAGTAAAGCCGCTTGCGGCTTCGCGAAACGTCCCGCTTTTAAACACTGGGTTTCTTCAGGCTTCTTACAACTCATCGAAGCCCGTCAGCCTACTCTGGGTGACCGTGAGCTTGACCACAAACGAAGGCTGTTAAGCAATGAAATTGAGCAAAGCATGCATAAGGACCGAGAAGCCTGGTAATCGGAGTGTGCTAATAGGCTGGAAGCACCAGCTGCATCTGGTAACTGCCGGAAGCTCTTCCAACTCATCCGAGCCACTGGCAGCAAGTTCATTGTGAGTGGAACAATCTGTGAGGATGACGGTGTGCCAATCACTAACATTTATCAGCATCCTGGATGATGGGAAGTTCATGTGGTATGCTGCTCTGTAAACATCGATCAGACTGTCCTGCTCTCCATGGCCGGTGATGACGACTGATCCCCTTAATGAAACGGAAGTCCTCAAGGAACTCCAACTCTTGAAGAGCTATAAATCACCAGGCCTAGATGACTTACCTCCGGCCCTTTTTAAAGATGGTGGTGACTCTCTGACTAAGGAACTGACGACGTTGTTTACAAAGGTCTAGGGTACTAGAGAGTGTTCCAACGTCATGGAATGAGTCGATAGTTGTCCCTATCTTTAAAAAGGGTTCACGTCGTTTCTGTAACAACTCTCAGGTGATAAGTCTACTTCCGATCGCGTCCAAACTATTGGCTTCTGTCATACTTCGTGAGTTTTTCAAAACCCGAGAAAGATTAACTCGCGAGGAACAGACTGGTTTTCGTTCTGGTCGAGGATGTATTGATCATAACTTCACCCTCCGTCAAATGTTAGAACACCGTCATACTTATCACAGGCCAACAATCGTAGTGTTTCTTGACATCAGGGCTGCCTTCGATTCGTTGGACAGGATTGTTCTCAGGGATTGTCTATTGAAGAAGGGTGTGTCTGAGAAGTTTATTACCATACTAAAAGCCCTATATACAAACACCTCAGGCAGAGTGAGGGCATACAACTGTTGGAGTGATCCAGAAAATTTCTTCCAAAAGACAAGCAAGGATCGGGAAACACTAAGAAGCGTCTCATCCAATCGGCGTTCACTTGAAGTTTTGGCCAAAAATATCAAGGAAGTGAAACGTCACATGTAAATGTTCTGATTGGCTGATTGCTATACTGCTACTATGTTTAGTAGCATTGCAGAATCTTCGAGCAACCCAAGGACATTAAAAAATAATATAAAAACCCTATATTTTCTGTGTTAAAATGAACCTTGGAGTAAAGTACGCCTCGCATATTTTGCGTCTTCTCTCTCGTTGTTCAGGTCGCTGTATAGTTCTAGCTTGGGGGTGACAGAATAGCTTAGGAAACGAATATAGCTTTCAATTTGCAAGACTTATCAACAACCACCTCTCTCCATTGTTCCATTCGAGCAGTGGGGTTAAACAGGGTTGCCCAATCTCACCACTCCTCTTCAACTTCACCATCGATGACATTCTGGAAACAGCTCTGATAGACGTAAGTAATGGCGATGTGGACCTGCTGCCTGGAGAAATGCTTCTCAACCTTGAGTATGCGGATGATACTGTCTTACTGTGCGATAATGCCCAAGCCATGCAACCCACACTCGATCACTTGGCGATCAGTGTCCGTAGGTACGGTATGTGCTTTGCACCTTCCAAGTGCAAATTACTTCTACAAGACTGGCAGGATTCTAATCCTATACTCACCCTGGGTGGTGAGCAGATAGACGTAGTTGAGAAGTTCGTGTATCTATGTGGTAGCTGCATAAGTGCTGGTGGTGGCGTGAGTGATGAGATCGATGCACGTATAGTGAAAGTCGAAGGGGCTTATGCGAATCTGGGACATTTTTGGCGCCTTCGTGATGTCAGTCTGGCAGTAAAAGTTCGGATCTAGAACGCGTCGATGAGAGCAGGTCTTCTCTACGCTTGTAAAACATGGCCTCTCCGAGTTGTAGATGTTAGACGACTCTCTGTGTTTGATCACCGCTGTTTCCGAAAGATTGCTGATATCCAGTGGGAACACCATGTTAGTAATGCAGAGGTTTGGCATCGTGTGTTCGGGCACAGAGACGATAATCCAATGGGTGTCACCATCTTGAAACATCGGCTTTGGTGGCTTGGACATGTTCTACGAATGTCCTCCCAGAGAAGTCCACGTCGTGCATTATTTGCCGATTCTGGGACTGGTTGGAAGAAGCGGAGAGGTGGTTATTGTATGACATGGTGTCGTGGTATGCAAGAAAGCTGCAAAGGGTTGGCTTGTGTAGGTCTTTCTAGACTCCCTGGTTGGAGTCCTAGAGATGCTGCAACAGTGGCTAGAGACGTTATCAGATATGGCTCAGAATAGAAGCCAGTGGCGATCCTGATGTAACCTTTTACATTTTTCATAAAAAGTGGTTGTATCTTAACTGAAAGATTTTTTCTTTTGTGTGGTGAATATGTATCTGGTGCCCCCTTGTACCAATAATTATGTGTTCAAATAAACAAATAAATAAATAATAAAGAGAGAGCATATGGTCGGTACAGCCACGACCAGGTCTAAATCCAGCCTGATTTTCTCGTGTTAGTTAGGCGACCGACAATTATTGAGGCTAGTATTTTGGATACTATGTTAGTCAAACTAATCCCTCTATGGTTGTCACAGGATGATTTTGACCCCTTATATATTGGGGACAGTCAGTGATTGTGACCAGTCAAATGGGATTACGTCCAACTCTCAGATTTTAGCTAAAATATTAGCCAACCTAGTCGCTAAAACTGGACCACCATACTTAAAGACCTCTGGAGCCAATCCATCTGAACCAGCTGCTCTTCCTCGTTTCAGATTAACTATAGCTTTTTGAACTTCAGTTAGAGTTAGGGGACCTACTTCAATGTTCCATTCGGGCTATCTGGGAATGGCAGGTAGTTGTAGAGTGACTGAAGTCCAGATGAACCGCTCCTTAAAGTGTCCCGCCCATCGTTCCTAACGTCTGGACTGAGAGCAGATAAGTGTCATCTTTTTCCGAGATAGTCTCACATTTGACTTCTTAATTCCAGTTTCTTTTATTAGTCTGTAGAGCTGTCTAGTGTTACCTACAACCGCTGCCTTTTCCATCTCTTTTGCTTAACCTAGATCTAATTTGCTTTCGCTCTTCATCATGTTCAGAGCCTGATGGGATGAGTTTACGACAGCCCACTAGCGCAATAGACTTAGAAGAAATCCGTTGGTTTTTTGTGACCCTTTGGTTTAAATCATTAATAGATGTCACTGCTGTTTCCACAGCTGTTTGTATATCTTTCCAAGTAACATGTGTCAGACTCGTTTCCAGAGCTACCTAAGTGTGACCTTAGTTGTTCCTGGAATCTACTTTCGGCTTTCTCGTCACTCAATTCAATGCTAATGGGTCTTCTTAGTGTGGCTTTTCTGCGTCCAGTTAAGCGCATGCAGATGCGTGCCCGTATTAGAGCATGGTTGGAGTTCAAGCAAGTATTCCAGAACGAGCGACAATCTTCTACCGACCCTCTCCAACGATGACTGATGGCAATATGGTCTATTTAAGTTCATCGTTGCTTTGGTGCAGGGGGTCGCCATGTTAGACGATGTCTCTTCTTATGCTTAAAATTAGTGTTTGCTAAAAATAAACGACTGTCTAAGCACAGTTACAGCAGACGATCACCATTATCTGTTCGCTGAACTGGGATACTAAAATACCCACCTAAATGTCTTTCTGTTTGGTATAGCTTGGAATAGGCAATTTAGCAAAACGTTATTGAGTTTCAATCACTGATTTTTATAAAAAATAACTTTTAGTATCACTAGATCACGAATTTAAAATTAGCAAAGTTACTTCAATTTATCTAATCCAGTGGTAGGAATGTAAGTCGTTAGTGTGTAATCACACCTCAAAGAAAAAATTTATTAAGTTGTTGATTAAATATGAGTCATAGAAGAAGCAGGAGTGATAAGCTAGTCGAAAAGAAATAACTTGGAACAAAAAAAATTTCATCAGTCCATACTACTACATCGAATAGCAAGGAAATGGAAAGTCATAAAAAGGGAAGGACTAGTATAAATAAGAATGTACTTAAGAAATAGTGACAATATAGGTAAAGAATAATAACTGTAAATTGAGTTGTCATTAAATTGGTTTGAATGGTTTTACTTTCATTAAAAGTCAAACGTTTTTATCTTAGTTCTGTTTAATAATACTCCTTACTTTCATATTCATATGTAAATGTTGCGCTTTTTGTAGCTGAAAAAAGAAGTCATAAACAAAAGTGAATTCTGTTTGTTCAGTAACTCATGGTTTCCTTGTTCTGATGAAAATGAATTAGTGAACATGCGAGAAATATGAGAAGTACAATGCCAAATATTCTTCTTGAAAAAACTGAATTTACCGTCTTTATTGTAACCCGTGATGAGTTATGAATAATTCAGTTACCTCAATCACTGATTTCTAAAGTACTGAGAGCCAGAACCACGAAGCCCACGTGGATCAGACTAACTGACAGACTTTGAAATTAAGTGTTTAAGATTCGGGAACATATGGCATATTCACGAACCTACTAGCTCAGTGGCGTGAAAATAATTAAAAATGATAGATACTTACGCATTAGTAATCCAACCATCAGGCCAAAGTTGAATTAAAGTTGGGAAAAGGCGTCTCAGATAGTCTTCAGCGGAACCTTTGATGTTCAACAATTTATAACTTTCAAGTCGGCAAAGGATGATTTTATCGAAAAGTTGCCTATGGTTAAAAAGAAACGAACAGATTTTTCCACGTTTAAAACTATTAGATACCTTCTTATTATACCTGGGAAATAACGAGTCTAGATATCAGTATCTTCGTTCACCGGCTACGAATTACTGTAAGTATGAAATCACTACACAAATATAACCAAAAGATAAAAATACATCTATAAGAAAATTGATGAAAGACAACCTTAGTTCATTTATAACTAAGGTTTGGAATTTTCAGATAGTGCGCCGTTACAATATTTTACTCAATTAAGAGCGATATCATTTTAAATCGGAATTAAAGGGAACCGTCATACCAACCAGAGAATGGCTGTGGGTTAATCACCATGAATAGTTCCGAAATCTTAAGAATGACATAATCATATTGGAAAACACTTATACGGCAAGCATCATTAAAATTTTTCGAAGACTCGGGTGAATGAACACTTCACAACAAACATAAAAGTTTCATGCGAATTGCCATCTGTCTGATATTTTCTCCAATATTAAGACTAGTTAGTGTTCATAAGACCCGAACTCTACCTAATTTGTAAACTTTATGTAGGTAACAGAGATCAGTCGATTATAAGTTTTACAACTCAATTTTACGTTAATAGCGAAGTATTATTCAAAATTGGTGAAACAGATATGACGGTAAATAATTTACCTGCATTCAGAATTCCATCGGTAGATTTTCTTAGGAGGTCCGGGTTTCGGAGGGCGTTTCGATAAGCTTCCGTCGCTTGAGCCATTAACACCTTGATTATCGTTTAAATCTGAACCGCTTTGCAAATTTCTGAAACCGAAAAAAAACAATTGAGGGGATTGTCGCTGAAGATATTTGTACTTGGTAGAGGGTACCAAAAATGATCGAAGAAAACCCATGGCTAACAACCACATAGATTGCAAATAGAGAAAAACCCGTTTACTGTATGCTAATTAGTCCCTAATCACAACTGTGCAACGTTAACATCCCAACCGGATAGCTACAAAGAACCTAAACAGCTATTGAGTATAACTTGACTCTCGATTCAATAACCGCGAATTTAGAAAAACTGCTATTAAACCTCAAACCTACTACATACATAGATTGTAAAACTAAATCCTGCAGTATAAGCCATGTGAATCCAGTGTCAGAAATGTTTGACAACATTACATCGTTTTTCAACTGGGTTATAACCGGCTCTTTCACAAGCATCTCGAAAATATCAAAGCAATAGTAAACTCTTGACCTAGACTCCCAACAATTAAGTGGAAAAAGCCTGTAGTGCGTGCTACTTATATTGATATAAGTAGTATATGACGCGAGTCAGGAATGTAATGTCTGGCAGCGGAAGATGTGGGAAGATCAAGAAAGCAAGAGTGGGAATAGAATGTTATTTGTATGAAAATGTAAGAACAATGAAGTCTGAGGCATTTTGAGACAATTGGTGGACATTTTGCAAATTAACGATTTAATATATAGTTCTCAGATTTTATTGAGATGCTCTGTAATTTTGTGTCAAATACATTCGATTGTCGCCACCCGTGTTCTGTTCACTACAAGCCTAGTCCATGGCTGCAAAGAATTTAAAAGAAAAATAGCGTACCCTATGTACAGACCCCCTTTCTTAGTAATTTATAATTACATTTGAATAATTATAACTTAAGATGAATTTTACACTAAACAAATACCAATACCGAGCAAATGGTTACCAGAATACAGCAGAATAACAATCTGAAATGGTTAATAACTGAATGTCAAAATATAGCCGAATCTTAAAATGAGTAATTATTACCTTCAATTATTCAATAATTCTAATTGCGGTAGCTATTTAATACCCATAAACTGAAAACCAGTTAGTAAATATTTATGTGCCAACCTTTGAATAGTACTATTGGTGAGGATTAAAAAGTAACACCAGGATGTCCGAACCAAAACTTATAAGACGCAAAACCCACCATGCAGTTAAAATTGAAGTGTTTAGAACAACAGTTCAGTTGAAAAATATTACAACTTATTGATTAACTTACTCCGTTTGCCAAGCTTTGATACGTTCCAAGTGAACCTCTTTATCTCTTGTATAACTTTCAATAATTGGAGGCATAGACGATGAAATAGCTTAAGTCAGGAAACAAGAACAAAACCAGAAAATAAGTCCTTTTGAAGACTCTAGCTAAAAGATTTAGTTATTTCATAGACCCCACATATAAAACTTATATTTACACTGAGAACGTATGTACAAGGTTGACTAGATACGCATGAAGTGACAATACTGAACTAGCAAAGTGGTAACACGGCTTCTTATAGCAAGGTGGGGAAAAACAGATAGTGAAGGTTGGGTGAAAATTAAATAGTAATATCCGTAAGTTATAAAAGATTGAACATAACTCTGCCCTACAATGAGATCAGTCTTCAGTCGCACTGCCTACCGAACACAACTAGTAACTTTGGTTAGTGAAGGTGTATTCAAAGAACTCCGATTTTGAGTACCAACATGATGTGTGTTTTAACCCGGTTATATGATTTTTTTCTAAAAATTCATTGCAAGGTGGATAAAGTAAGGTTTGAAATAAAAGGTACAATAGATCTGTCATTTCATTTACAGTAAACTTTTCAGTACGCTTAGCTACCTAGTAACAATGATCACATACCTTCACCAAGAGCATCCAATAGCGGGTTCATTCTCTGTTCTTGTTTATCTTCTTTCAATCTTTTAAGTCTACGCATTACAGCTTTGTGTTTCAATTGTAAGTGACTTTCTAAGTAGCTGAATACATCTGACCTCACAGACTGATTTATCATCAATTCTTTCAACTTTATATCCAGTCTAAATATTATGAACAAAATAGTTTTAGAAATAATTAGTCGAAACAACAAACCGATCAGTCGAAAGTAAACAATCCATCAATATGAACATTTATTTATTAAAATAGATCTGTAAACTGAGCTACTCATTGAAAACATGTTCCAAGAAGATAGCAAATTTTTAATATAATTCATTGACACTTATGAAGATTGTGACCAAAACTATGATGGAATGTGTTGTTCGTGACATGACGAAAAGCGAATATTCGGAGCTTTGATCGGGTTGGTGGATATAGAGGACCCACCTAGGGGACTTGGAAGACTCTGATTACAAACCAGTGGTGCATATGGGCTCCAGAATCCTGAGGGAACAAATGGTGTATAAACCCATTGTTGGTCAACAGCCACCATGGGACTGTATCTCCTAATGTTGTTCCACCGCCTTGTGGATTAGACCCTTAGGTCGAAGGCTCAGGGAGTGACCTCCTAAGAAAATCACCTGCTTCGGTCTGAGCGCCCGGGTAGTATCCCAGCCCTCACAGAAACCGGATGATTTATGTAACACATGTGTATTCGGTGCCTTCTCATACTAATTTTTATGTTTTAATAAGCAAAGCGCTGGATTATGAGAATTCTTTTACAAATTAAAGTACTTTTGAAAGATTTGGTCTCAAAACTCATTAACGTTACAAATAACATACTTGTGTCCAAAACTCCTGAGACATTTCTCGCTAACATGAATAGTCGAGTATAGTTACTATTACAATTCTTTGTTTAGAAGTATAAATAATTGATTTGAGTTATAGTTATAAGCGTGAAAACTAGTTCCGGTTCATAACAATCAAAAATAATGTGCGCATTCAATTGAAATCGTTTCGTTTCCTTTTATGATAAGTTTGGAGCTCCGTGAATTGAGAGAAATAGTTTCAATATCATGTATAATAAGGAGGCTTACTGGTTGAAGTATTCGTGTCAGGCGTTAGGTTGAAGGTTATAGAAACCCACTTTAATTACTTCGGTTTGAACACCTAGGTGATATTACTAGTACTCATACAAAGTGTGTGGCTCATAACTGGGTACACGAACTTGCCCCTGGTTACTGAGTTAAACAAGATTTTTTTAAAGTATAGATGCTCTCGTCCAGGTTGTTTCATATTAGTTGAACAAATACAAAACCTAGTTGGAACTTCACAATAAGAAATGGCTATCCAGATCTTGTTTCTATCCACCTCCGATTAACAGCTATCAAACTGTCACATTACTGAGGCTTTTATTTTACAGGACAGAACGAGTAGTCGGAAATCATGAAGAAATAATATTTTCCAGCGTATTGATGTTATATCCCGAGAAAATAACCATCAAGCTTATTTGAGTTGATTATGAAGCTAGTTCACCAAATACATGACTACATACTATGCTTCAAGTTGCACTGTTAAGGATAGTGATACTATCCGGAAGCCAAAATAGAAGTGGGTGAAGAAAAACTCAGAAATAGAGTCTACTAGTTGGAACCTGAGTAAATTCACTACTAGGTTAAAGCTCTCAAAAACAAATGAAGTTTGTGGTAATGCTATGAAGTTTAAAAATAACTGAATAGCCTAGAAAATGAGTGAATCAGCTGTATAACATATTTTTAAGCATCTCTACATAGTATTAATAGGGACTGTAATTTGTATAACGACAACACAAACTAACAGCCGGTGAAAACTACTTTGTCTGAAATAATTGTTTAACGATTAAATCATACAAACTGGAGTACAATTTACTTGTTTATTCACACAACTTATCTGACCGAACCACGCTACAAATAAATAATGGGGAAACAGAATCCAGAGTTTACCACACTAGTGTTCACTTTCCTACCAAAACAGATAATGATAAGTCAACTAACTAACGTTAAGACTAACTATTACAATCCAAAAACTTACTTTAGTAGTTCTGTATCAAATGGTTTTCCTAGTGTACGACGTTGATTTGTTCCATGTTTATTAAGCTGGAATTAATTTACTCATAAATTGAATAAGAAACAGCAAATGTCAAAAAAGGCAATTGATTCAAACACATGAGTTATCAACTAAAATGTGTAAACTCTTAATGAAAAATATCAACCACATCAACAAGGCACTCAGTAAGCATGCATATGACCTGACTATTATCTTGGTACGACTATTCGGGGGAATTTTAGTAAACAAAACTTTCAAACAAACAAAATTTTACAAATCATAAACCTGTCACAAAACCCTCATTCGTACATTCCCAGTCTACAACCAACAGTAACCCAAACTTTACAACCAGTTGTTATCAGTGTAGGACCTGATACGAGTGTGCATCACACTGCATATTAACAACGTAAAAGAAAATCAACAAGATTAGCAGCAACAAGGAGGAAATAAAGTGCAGTTAAATGAGAAACCTATTACGATACATGGATGAAACACTAAAATGACGATTTAATCAGTCAGTCAGTCATATGCAACGTAGAACTAGGCACATGTGTGTATCGGTTCAAGTTGCCATACTCCATCAGGACAGCTAAATGAAAAAATCAAGGCAGATTCTAGAGTAAAGGTAGTAACATTACTAGTGGTAGTCAACGAGAATGAATTTAATTGCGCTATGACCAATTTTGAGAAAAGACAAAGAGTGAATGTACCTGCGTTAGTGAGGACAATTCTAAGTCACGTCAACCAAGATCTTTAACTAGTAATTACGATAATTGCACTGACCTCAGCTAGGTAGTTCAGATCTACTAAAAGGGTCCAGAACAGCAGTCAATAACTTTGTGTACTGATCTCACGTCTTGGTTTTCTCGTCCCTAGCTTTCTTCCAATTTATTCCTACTAAAGTCAATATTGTAGTTTGTGATAGGGAGTGGCTGGGTGTATGAAATACACGTTCTAGACATCTCAGTCAACTCATTAACCAATTTGCCATAGATACCTAGCGCTCTAAGTTCAACCTATGCATTACTCACCTGGTAGTCTACCGCGTACAAGCAGTAGTTTGAACAAATGTTCGTAGACCATATATGTCATCCACTTGTAGGTCCTGATTCATAACCCTCAGTCGATCATAATCAACAAAGTCTCGCACGAATACGTCCCCACTCTCTGCCGTACCAGGGCATTTGGGGGCCATAAAATAAATAATAATAAATTCTAACAGAACCGATTGCTTTCTAGCATGCAATACAGCGAATTCCACATCATACATTACTTCCCGATCGACTGGTTAGAAAGAGCAGAGATGGTCAGTGTATGATATGTAAGCTGTGCGGGACTGAGATCTATTGGTCCTTGAAGACCCTCTGGTTGGAGTTCGAAAGATAGTACAACACTGATTCGAGACACTATCCAACATGGCTTACGACAGGAGCCAGTTGCAGCCTTGCTGCAACTTCATATAAGTGAAAGGAACTTTTTTAGCTGAATCTTTTCTGATTGTGTTTTTCCTGACTGGATTGCTTTCCCAACTATGCTGTTTCACTTTCATTCACTTGGTTTTACTCGTTTTTTGTTGGACATTTTAACACGACCAATAAACTAATTGCTGACTGATACTTTGGAAAGAAAATATTCGTTGAAAATCTAATTCAATTGTTTAAAATCATTATCTATGCTGATCCCATAGTGATTAAAATACTCGAAAGTCAAAAAACCTTACGAGTGATACCACTCATTCCTTAAGAGGTATGCTTTAGTTAATGAATGCTTCTTATCTCCCTTACTCAAATGGCTTGCACTAACATTCTATCTTCAAATAGTTTTTATAAATCTACGTTCCAAGTAACGCAAATGAATAATTAACTTACCTCTGTTAAGTTGTTAAGGCATGCTACTATGTCTGGTGGTAAATTCTCAGGAAGAACTTTTGGTTTTCCCATGTCACATGATGACTTTGCAGTGATGACAGAAGAGTCATTTCTATCATTTGGGTCCTTACAGCTCTCAATGCCTTTTGCGTTACTATCTTGTTCAGATGCTGTCGATGTGTACAAAACTTCATCAAATAGGGAGTCTAAATTGCGCATTTGGTTTCGGGGTTCCGATAGAAACAACTTAGGCTTAAAAGCATTAGGAGTTGACAAGCGTTTGACGGCTTTATCCAGAAGCTCTCTAAGAAAATGTTATGAAATTTATGGCACTGACTTGGATTTATTTTTTTTCCTCATAACGTTTTGAGATGAATTAGTATTTGTCTATCGGATAATGGAATCAGTTTCATTTACACAAACCAATATCCTTGCATTCCAAGGGGCCTCGATTTTCGCACTCTGATCTTCAAGTCCTTCAACAGTTCCTTGATGTACAAAATATCCTCCAAACTTAGTAGAAATGTTCGGGGCCACAAATACATCAATCTGCATATTACAATAGAAAATGTGAAGGGACCCTACAGCTTCGGAATCATCGATAAATGAATCTTGTGTATCGTATCCATCTCCTGGGTCCAAGAAATCATCTATACGAACTCGCTTGTGCTTTCCACTATTCTTCATAGTAACCATAGTCCCCTGAAATTAAGTTACACTAACGACATGTTACTTACATATTTCCTCTCGAGTGCCTTAGCTAGGTCAGAAAGCTTTTTTTCTTCTGCAGCTTCATTGGATGCGAAAGGGTTATCCCCATTTTTTTGATTATTATTTGATTCCTGATATATTCAAAATAAAAACGTGTTATTTTACTAAAAACAGAGTCTGTATCTAACGTCAGCACAACAGTACGACGCCCACGCTCAAGGTCGAGCCCTGGCCAATAAGAATAGGCTGGGCAATAAGTACACCGTAATAACAGCATATATCTTAGTTGGTCGAGAAAATACAAGAAGCAAAATAAAACTGACAAATATAAAGATAGCAGAAACAGTCAAACAGAACAACAAACTGATAATAAACATGTTACGTGATAGTACCAGGTGTTGTTGAAACAGCTCGAGATAAGAGCATTCATGGCAGCCCTCGTCATCAGGTAATGATATCTCAAAAACAACCGTTTTTTCGTTTGCTTCGCTATGCATATTACCAAACACTAATCAGGGCTTTCTAGTCATATAGCTACGAGTGACGTGAAAATGTTGACCAGAGGATTAGCCGTAACACCACACCGGCTGGTTATCAATTGAAGGACGTATGCAAACTATTGTTTGACTAGTTAGCACTGAGCTGATGTTGCGCATCCATGACTATAGTCAATACGTAGTAAAACCGTGGAGAGTAAACTATACATTAAAAAATTGCAATATTTCTAGAAAATGGTGTAATTCTCGATATTCTTATGATTGTTTGGTAAAGTATCCATCAGCGTTACTGGTACTGAGGTGGGTAGTGCAACTGAAGAACTAATACTGTCGAACACAACAAATTAACGCAAATCACATGATAGTTACAAGTTGATTTTATTTAGGCAGACGATAAATATCTTTAAATGTCAGATTATTTTGCTGATCTGACCTTGGAAGAGTCACAAAAGTTGCACGCATTGGTTTTACGTCGACCTTTGGTAAATGACAACCAGTTGGCAAACAGGCCGCTATACTTTTCTTGTTTATTTTTAACTAGTAGAAATATTCATATTCTAATCATGAGCCGAACTACAATTACAATCTTATGAGATTTCCTCTGCCATGTTTTCAGTGTTAGCAATGTATCGATCATCATGGTATATACAGGAGTATACTAATCAAGATATGAAAGATTCAAGAACTCAACAGTTTTTTTAAGTATACAGCTGCAAGTAGCATTTAACTTTCTCTCTCGTAATCAGATTAATCGAGTTAGCATGGGGCAACTCGATCTTAAATTCTATCTATTGTCAGAGACATAAAGCTAAATATTGACAACTTTGAACTAAAGCTCACTGTAGCAATGTGCGTTTTTCAATCACTCATCAAGGACCTGTGTTACCCCAGTATTTATTGAAGTGCGCAAAATTCTTCGCTACTCAAGGAAGACTCAACTAAAAATGTATCATACACATAGAAGAGGTCAGCCGCAGTGCATAAAACTCAGACGTGAAGTCTCTGACGGCGGGGCAAAGTAACGTGGATCCTACTCTTCTCGAATCTACCACCCCTATCAAGACTAAAAACACATCCTGTGATAAATCATGAATCGAAGAGAACTCAGTAAATAAATACAACTTGCTTTGCATATCGACATTTAAACATACTGTTCATTGACGAAAATGTATGATCGTACCCCCAGCAAAATCGCACAAAATCAATCAGTAATTATTGTTAATATTTATTAGAACAATTCATCTCTGTCCACCACAAAGTGCCGGACAAAGGAGTTGGGAAGCCGAAATATATGTGGCACGTTTTTAGACAATAATCACATTCATTAGTCATGATTGTGGCAGAAAATTTGATGCCCGAAAACATTATTCAAAATCCCCCAAACACCAGCCTAAAAACATTAATGGGTTGCATCATACCCATCACGTACTAAATGGGAGACTATCAGATGGCGTGCACCTGCCCTGACAGAAATATATTATTATGTCCGATTATTACGGTGTAAGTTTACAAAAGCAAGGACCAGAAACAAGTAGGAAAATGCCTTAAGGGCTGCACTTTAATCCTCGAATTTTCCAGTCTCAATACAGCTTATGGTATCCGAAGCGTTCCGCAGCGCAATCGTTAAGTAGATATTTGAAACCATCGTCATTCATCTAAGCTACAAACGAATGAGAAACTTCATTGTCAAAGACCCTGAGTCCACAGTTGACTCATCACATTTCTGTTACAGTTGCTATCATGTGTTACATATCGACTGGAGTAATTGTTATCAGTTGACTGCTCTCAGAGACATTCCGGTTTATTCTTTTCGTTTCGTTTCAAACAACACTTAAAGTCGAACTCAGCTATCAGACAGCCTTATTCATGACCAATAAAGATAAGCAAAACAAGGATCAGTAATTGCTGTTTGTGACAAATGAACATATCCTACTAGCCACTACGGTTCGACTAAATCAGCAATACTCTCTTGAGTGGAGGAAGTTTAGTCAAATAGCTGTGTTCTGGCGTTCTCGACTGAATTTTCAAAGAAACCCTCTCGATATCTGGTACACTGACTCAGTGGAAGGTTAATGCAATTCATATTATATCGAGTATTGGTGGTAGGATATCTGATATATAAACAGGGTTGGTTAATTTGTGACTTAATAGTAAAAGCAGTCCGACAAAATGAATATCCATCAATCTAAGGAAGAATAGATCTATCTTGCACCTTTTGATAGCTGCACTATAGACTGGTAGTAAGAGCTCTGAACAAGTCCACTCTACTGATGCGTCGTATTGTGCACAGTAGGCCGAGCTAGGTTTTGAGACTTTACAGGAGGTTCATACGCTATCAAAACACTTATAACACCTGAACGTTATTGCAGTTGATCAATGTGGATTCCGATACTCGGTGGCTTTATTCTGCCGAAAGATAAAAGGATGGAAATTTTTAATGAAAAACGATCAACAAAAGTAAGTGAAAATGCTTATATTTAAATCTCACAATACAATCCTCGCAGCTTGTAGCGGAAAAAAGCTAAAAATCCCCCAACATTTCATTGAACACAATCGTCATTTAGCTGTTTTTCACTCCTATATCCGGGTGTCTTCTAAACCACGCATTGTGTTCTTCGGTCTTTCTTGTAGGTGCTTTTGTTATTTGACGTTGGTTAGAGATTTTCCTTTTATTGTTTAACTAAATGTTATATGTTCCAGACCATTGAAAATAGGGTCATATTTGACTAAAATCGAGGTCACAGCGTGTATGACTGTTAACCTCTGACTCTCTACTTTAAATTGGTTGTTGAAACGCTTACAGATAGATGTCTAGTCTCATCTTCATGGGAATATTTTTGTTGGTTCTCTGGTGCTTAACTGTTGCCTACTAACCATTTTCTGCTGTTAGCACGTTAGTTTGCGCGAGAGAATCCCTTGACATTATGGCACCGGCTGTACCGTTTGATGTATTCAGTACTTCTGGTATGATTTAGCCTGATTTTCGAATAAGAACCGTGCTTTGACATAATTTAATACGAGACAATCAAAAATGCTTCGTACGCTAAACAGAAGAACGTAGTCTGTCCCAATCGGATAAACTTTGGTTCGTTAATTCTGTGTTGAAACAGAATCTTGGTCTTTTGATGGTTACTGGTTGAAAACATGAGGCAATTGAAGCTAGACCGCCATGGAAATCTTGAAAGCACGGGACGGCCGTTTCGTCCTCTTATGGGACTCCTCAGCAATAAGCATACACGATCCTGCCATCCTCTCTCGCGAGATTCGAGCCCAGGACATGTCAGTCAATCGCCAGACGCTTTACCAACTTGACCACCCAACGATGTTAATTTCTAATTTCAACCAATCCACAAAGTCGCGCCACCCTACACTATTGTCATCAGCGAGTTGATATCTCACAACAGACCTGGTTGAACTCCACTGGTAATGGCTTCCTACTAGAACTCCATGAAATGTCACATGAAGTCGATTACTAGTGAGCAGATGATTATTATCAGAAAAGGTTTTGTTGAGATTTTAGAAATTTAAATAGTTGAAATCATGAGTCAATTGAAGCTAGACCACCATGAAAAACCTAGAGGCACTGGACGGCCGTTTCGTCCTAGTATGGGACTCCTCAGTAGTGCGCATATATGATCCCGCCCTCCGCGAGGTTCGTACCTAGTAAGCAGTTCTAGTGAGAAGCCGCTACCACTGGAGTTCAACCAGGTCTGTTGTGAGATGTCAACTCACTGAAGACAGTGGTGTACGGTGGCGCAACTTCATGCATTGGTTGAATTTTGACATTAACAAGGTGCAGCACTTAATTAGATTGTTCAACACCGATGTCGCCGGCTTGTGTACAGATTTGATTGTCTCAGGCAACGATATTGAGCTAATAGAGGTGGGTCAACCAGGCGTTACAAATTTGAAAACTGTACGAAGAGTCATCACTGTCTATTACATGGTGCTTCACCATTCAACAGCTCGAATGGCAAATCTGGCACGGAAAATCGCTGTGAATTTACAGTCAGGCGTGCTTGAGAATGATTCCCGTACGATTAAGACCGAGTTACGCCGAAGTTGTCATCTGGGCTCTTAGAGATATTTGTTCTGACACAACACTGGTAAACTCAGACTGCTTGTGATTACTCGGGTTAACGAAAGAACAAATATCAGAGGTATTCCGGACAGTAGGTGGTAATAAAACAGTAATATTTACGAGTACGCCTTCTGAGATGTATTATTCAGATCGGACTGGACACTTCATTCGTGGAGAGGCTTTCATCTTGGAGAGCATACCTGGACATAAGCCAGCAACATCGGTATTGAACAATCTAATCAGGTGCCCGCACCTTTTTGACGCAATTTTACATAGCCTAGATTATGGCGAAGTTGTTCTATTGATTGGTTGCGATGTTCCGGAACTACACTGAGCGATATTGATAAGTCGGCCTGTTTGTTACTCAATTTTACTGTTATTTCCTTAGTTTTTTTTCAAATATTACTATTCCTGGTTAAATTTTATTTTAGAATTTAATGCAGGTAGAGTGTAGCCTGACTGCCAACAAAGGTGAGCTACACATGACAGTCACTGAATAACATTGTTCATCACGCCCGAAAATGATTTCTTGGAACATGTTATTCACCTAGACACGTTATGTCATAAATTTGTGTCATATGTTTACCCAAATCGCTGCGTGAACTGATAGCTACATGGCGGTATTCTTACTGGTTATTTTGCATTCACTCGTGTAAATAGTTGTGATTTCTCATCTATGCACATCTCAGATTTGTGTGTTTATTTATCTCATCCTTCTTTTTTCGGAATCTGAGAACTAACACAGACTGGTTACAAAACCAATTCACACACAATCAGGGTCGGCTGACGGAATCAACGTACAATTTATGCAATAACATGCCCTGCTCATGAGTCACACTTTACACAATCTTTAATTCACATGCATCGGCTGAAATTTCGGGTACAAAGTATAACATTGGAGAGAAATTTTACGCTCGAA